TCTGTCTGTCTGTCTGCCTGCCTGCCTGTCTGTCTGTCTGTCTGTCTGTCTGTCTGTCTGTCTGTCTGTCTGTCCGTCCATCCGTCCCTCCCTCCCTCTCCCCCTCTCTCTCTCTCCCTGTCTCTCTCCCTGTCTCTCTCCCTGTCTCTCTCTCTCCCAACCTGTTTCTGACGAAATAAGATGGTGTGTTCACTCAATAAGGGATGGCATCAACAACAAATTTGATGTCATCATGTTTTGCTTTTCCTGTTTCCTAAGTTACCTTTGTGGGTGTTTGGAGGGCGTCATTGGCAGGTCCTATGTGGTTTTTTTTCTTTCCCTCTTTTGTTTCTATTCGTCTATCTTGCCTTTTCTTTGCACGCCTGATTTGGTGCCAATATAATGTGATTATGGCGATGAGGATGATGGTGATAATAATAGTGATGGTAATGGTGAAGATGATGATGATGATGATGATGAGGATAATGATGATGAGGATGATGACGATGATGCGGAGGTCCGGGGAACAGCGACTGTCTTCCCCTTTGTACCAACCTATTGTTACTCACTTTTAAACCTACTCTTCACTATCCAAACTAAAAGCCAGTTACCACATTACTGCTGCGAACTTTGATAATAATATCCATCTTTTTCATGCCGTCCTTCGGTAGCAGGTGGTCTTGAATTCCCATTCTGTCCGCTCTCTCGTCCTATCTATTTCTCTAGTGTCGTGTTTCCAATGTCCTGTACCTAAGTATGACTCAGTTATTTGGAACTTTTGATGTCGGGCGTCAGCGTGCCTGAAAGCTCAGGTTACATGTGTACTATTTTACTAGTTAACAGTGCGTAGTATGCAGTCTTTTTTTTTGCAGATGATGTAGGGGCGGCTGCCCAGAGTTTTTTCTTTTCTTTTCCTTTTAAACAATTAAAAAAAAACCTCTTTTGTGACACCTCTGATCTTCGGTACTTATATGACCGAATTGTGTTGCAAGTGCTGTGAAACTCATACTAAAACTAAGCCCCAGGTCTCACCCGTAGCAAACTTTCAGTGCATTTTCGAACTTTATTCATACATTCTTCTTAAGAAGTTCCATCTGTATTTATTTTGGGTTGGGGTTTGTAACTCAATCACATAGGTGTCTTTAGGCTGTAAAAGACAGCAGGAGAATATATTTACTTTTTTCCCAGTTACTTATCTAGAGGGTGTAGAAGAGTGATTTTTCCCCCCACCAGGGCAGTGCTACTGACTGAAGTGTCTTTAGGCCATTCCCAACAAGGAATATTAACATATTCTTATACGCAGTAGAATTTTAAATTGGCTGATTTATCAATGTCATGCTCATACTGTGCTGGAAGAACATTGGGGAACTGCAGCTTTTTCTTTCCTCATCCTTACTATCGTCATTTTTCCTCTACTCCTTTTGTATGTTTGTCACTCTCTCGTGAACTGCTATTTCCTGGGTGCCTTGATAGTCGAAGCAGACTTTGTGCTGTTGAGGTGAGAGCGGTGAGCAGAGTAAGCCTGATTCCCTGTTTGGACCTCTCTGTTGACATCCACCCTTTGGCGCTCATATGACCTTATATAAATGCAGTTTCGAGCGCTGTAAAACCTTACTAAAACCAAACTTAAAACATGTTTGATCCTGATCCTGAAGCTGTTTGAGAAGTTGGACTTGTTGTGTAACCTGTGACATTTGCCCCGCTCTTTTGCTCTCTCCCCCAGGGAGCTGTTTGAGATCAGCCACATCCAGACCATCTACCACATCTTTGTGGCAATTCTCATCGTGTTCAGCCTCAACACCATCGTGTACGATGTCCTCGAGAAGGGAACGTAAGTGTCTCTACGATTCTTCCATAGCTTGCTTTCTACAGGGGAGTTGGCTTAAACGTCAATCTGTGGGATCGCCAGATTTTTTTCCGGTTTAGCTGGGTTTTCGGTTTAGAAAGGTTGTTTAATGGTAAAATGAAATCGGAGGTTTAAGTTTCTTTCAGTTTATCGCTGTTTTCAGATCAAATGTGTGCAGTTCAAGTGGACTGCATGTATATTGCAGTTGTCCAAGATGGCCACTTGGTCAAAAGGTGGCTGACTTGGTCAGGTGGATTTCACAGTATACAAAAGATACAAGGGATGAAGTGGGATTGTCTTGGACAGGTGGCTGTTAAAGTAGGTTCGACTGTATAATGTAATTGTAGATGTTTTACCACCCCATCAAATTTATATAGATCATTTAGGAGGCGGGCTGCTTCAACCTTGGCTGTCAAGGCCAGTCTATGTCTTGATACCAACATCCTTGGAGACAGGTGAATATACTCAATAATGAAAAAAACTCCCCATAGAGGATCATGGAACTCATGTCTTCTACATTTGATGGCAAAGTGCCTAACTGCTACACCACAGACAACGATAATAGCTCGCTCCTGGAAGTGGTTTATGATCAGCGCGAAGAATTATCTTGGCTTTTTATTTGTGTGCATATGACTATGAGGGAATGAGTGTGTATGTACATGTATGTGTTAGCATGTGACTAAGCATGCTCATTTGTTTTCATGTGTATGTAGGCAGGGGTAACTACTGATGATATGTTGTTGTTGGAGCTCTTCTGACATAACGTAGACTGCAACTGTGCCTGTCTATGTGTGTGTAAGTGAAAAAGTGTTTGTGTGTGTATGTGAGAGTCTGTGTGCAAACATATTTCAGCTTGTTTCTAGTTTCGAATGCTTTTATGGATGTCTTACAGGTCTGAATATATCATTGCTGTTTTATAAGTTTCTATCATTGTGATTCACCACTCAAAAAGACCCCCCCCCCCCCCCCCTTTTCGGGGCAATGCCACTGACTGTAGTGTCTTTAGGCCATTCCCAAAGGGGGGACATTTCTCATTCATGCACTGTAGAATTGTAAATGGGCTGATTCATCATGTCACGCTCAAAACTGTGCCTGATCTACAACAGGGAACTGCTGCTTTTTCTTTCCTAATCCTTACTATTGTCATTTTCCTCTACTTCCTTTGTATGTTTGTCACACTCTTGTGACCTGCTATTTCCGGGGTGCCTTGAAAGTCGAAGCAGACTTTGTGCTGTTGAAGCTAGCGAGGTGAGCAGAGTAAGTCTGATTCCCTGTAAAGATTTCTCTGTTGACACCCACCCCTTGGCGCTCATATGACCTTATGCAGTTGCGAGTGCCGTAAAACCTACTGAAACAAACGTCAAAAACAAAAAATCACAAAAAATAGAAAATGAATAAAATGCGATTAAAAACTGTTGTGATTTAGCGTATTTATACTTTAAAAAATTAGATATGTTTTCAAACTGACTTTTCTGACATTGACAAAGTTTTTATTTCCTCCTTTCAGGTTCAGTCTCAACTTTGGCATGATCCAGTGGGCTTTTGGGAAGTTCCCAAAGGTCATGGTGATGTGGGTGGTCATGCAGCTGAGTACTCTTCTCATTGTGTACCCGGCGTTTTACTACTGGGCCACACAGCGTAGACCTGGAAATGCGGGTAAATTACTGTTAAAGCAACAGATATTAATATTTTTTCCCTCTCTAGTGGAATATACATATGCAGTTTCATGTGTTACCTTTAGTAGCTAATATATTGTGGGTTTTCAAAATGTCATTTTTGTTGTCAATATACTCCTCATTTTGATGATATAGTTGTTGTCTCAACAGTTTTTAGCATTTTTCTTGTTTTTGTTTTGCTATAATGGTTCCCTTTTATATTTTATTTAATCCTTTTTTTGTTAAAAAAAGAAAGTCCATGAAGGCTGGGCTTCAGTGTGTCATCCCCTGGTCGGGTTTTTTTCTTATTATAATAGATCTGATGTCGAAAATTACAAGACAAGTACCCCTTTGCTTACATCCCCCTCCCCCCACATTTCCAAGAGTTAGGAGGTAATGAATAAAGCACACTGCTCACTAAAAATGGGTGCAAGCAACTGCTTGAAGTATGGAATCAAATACATGGGCATAAAGTCGAAATTCTCTAAGATGACCACCCATTAATGAGGAGAAAAGTCTGTCACATGCTGTCATGGTAAAATGAACAAGGAATGCAAGAGGAGAAATGAGAAGTGGCCGTTTGTACAGGTGATAGTCTTTTACAGGTGGGCGGTAGAGCAGGTATGACTATATATTTTTGTGATGTTTACTTTGGAGTATATCCTCTCATTATTTTTTTCCCGGCTTCCTTCTTCTATTCTATTATCAGAAGGCCTAGTGCTCTACCTTTGTGCTGATTAGGAGGGTAAATGTACATGCAAGCAAAAGCTCACATTCCCTTCTGTTTGATCTTCCTCAGGTTTATTTGACTTTGTGTGGATTGGTCTGGTGGTTGTCTATCAGCTAGCCTTCCTATTCATCCCTCTCTGGTACCTAATTGAGCACGATCTGCCCCCGGCTTCCTCTGTGATCATTACTACAGAACAGGTAAGGACCATGAAATGTTTCCTGACTGACTTGGGATTTTAGAGGAGAATAAGGTTAACTGATGGGGAAGGGGTGGGGTAGGGGGGTGGGAGAGATAGTGAAGGGGGGAGAGGTAGTGAAGGGGGGAGAGGTAGTGAGGGATAGTGGAAGGGGTTTCTGCTTCTCATACACTAACCAGTTATGGTGTTGATGGTTGTTCCTTTTTCTCTCAACTTACTGTGACTTGTCATGTTGATCTATGTACCAAGGTTTTTTTTTAGGTGAAAAAAAATAATAGACCCATAAATACCTCAGTGTGATTCCTGCCTTGCAAACAGCTGTATTTGTCCTTTTGGACAGTAGACAACTTGACAATACTCTCTCTCTCTCTCTCTCTCTCCCTCCCCCTCCCTCCCTCCCTCCCTCCCTCTCCCTCTCCCTCTCCCTCTCCCTCTCCCTCTCCCTCTCTCTCTCTCTTTCTCTCTCTCTCTCTCTCTCTCTCTCTCTCTCTCTGCAGTTTCCCTATAAATTGTGTTACTATATTATATTTATTTCACAATATATATCTATATATATATATATTAGCATTTGACATTTTTCTGCCTGTTTTTTTTTCCAGACACGATTGATAATGAAAACCCACGCATTTATCCGTGAGAACACAGCCAAGGTCATGTATAAGAAAAAAGATGATGGTAAGTGCAATGAAGTTTTGAGGCATGCTTTTTCTTTGTTGGAGGCTCAAAAATACTTTAATGTGAAGGTTCAAATACAAATTTGCTCTCAAGTCTTAAAAGTGAATCACTGACCTGTTCCAGGAGAGTTGATTTTTGTCAACAGTGTAAGAGCACTCCCATGTTGTATAGCATGGGTGGGTGGGTGATAATGTAAATAGTGCTAGTTGTTATGGAGACTGCCAAAGATTGTTTAAGCTTTGGCAGAGATTGCATAGACGGTACCAGCTGTTGTGGAGACTGTTACAGATTCAGTAGACCTCAATAGAGGTTGAAAAGATGTAGAAAGTGGGTAGAGTATGCAAGAGATATTATGATAATGAGTCAATGAATGCATGGATGGTGCTAGAGATTGTGTAGACAGTGTTGTGATTGCATGGACTTTGTTCATGAGAAAGTCTCTCATAGATTAACAATTTTCATAACGTTGGCTTGTTTTCTCAGTTGCTGAACAAAATGTCTTTGTTTTCCTCTGCAGGATTACATTTTTAGTGAATTGTTACATTTTTAGTGAATTGTGCGTCCAGATTGAATGGATGAAATTTAATAAGTCATGCTTTTGGTTGAGTGTGACAATCCCAGTAGTATGGAAGCTTTTAAAATTCATAAGCATTGATGTTGTTTCAAAAAATCTCATGGAACATTTATCAAATTTAATCATTATAACTCATTGATAGCTTACCTTGTTTACAAAATGGAAAAGGGCAGTATTTTCCAGGGGAAAAGCCAGTTTGTCTAACAGGTTTCTCTAAATTTAATGGCAAAGCAGTTTAAAGTTTTATAGTTTATCCCTCAAGCATGCTTTCATTTGTTAACTTTTTTTGCCACAGACCGTGACAAAGACGATGGCAGCAGTAACGGGTGTCCGGACTTCTCCAAGTATCTCTACTTTTTGTTCTCCCCAACATTAGTGTACAGAGACAACTACCCAAGGTAATAAGCTAACAGAAATGTTTTATTCTTCGTACTGTATCCTGTGTTTTAGGGCGCTAAACATCAGTCATTACTGAAGCAAGCAAAATGCCACATATTAGCAATTCCTGGAGATTCCTGGAAAATGTATTTTTGATTCTCGGGAGAGAGAAAATAGAACACAAAAGTGTTTTCAGTTCTGTTCAAAAGATAATGATGAAGATAATAGTATCCCTAGTTTTACTTAATCTCTCGTGGAGAAGCCCTATGGTGGGAAAAGTGGAACAACTTTAAAACTGCAAAACTTTATTCATGGTATTTGTTAGCAGCCCAATTCTCGATGTTCCACTATCATGCAAGAAGTTCTCTGTTAACTTGATGGCAGCAACAGCTACATTACTCCAACCTTCCAATTTTAAAATTTTAATCTGTTATTTTTGTCTCCCCCCCCACACTTTAGGACTCAGACGATATGCTGGAGATATGTAGTCACCAATTTCACCCAAGTCCTGGCCTGTCTCTTCTACACCTACTACATCTTTGAGAGGTTCTGTGTACCGGTCTTCCAGAACTTCAACAGCGAGCACATCACTCCTAAAGCATTCCTTCTATCTGTCTTTGGATGCATGATGCCGGCTACACTCGTCTTATTTATTGGTGAGCTCCTCGTGGGTTGCAGGGAGTGTTGACTGCTTGCTTTTTAGCTTTGATGAGATCAGATCAGATTTTTGTGGGTCTATTTTTTGTTTTGATTACTTGATGTAGGGTCTTATAAGGTTTAAATTTTGTGGTTTGTTTTGAATGAACAAAACAGAGTTTTCGGACTGGATCTGTTTTTGATAGGGCATAATTTTGGAAAGTGATTTTATGATTGTATCAGATTTTCTGGCTGGATTTTGTTTGGAAAATTGACAAGGAAAATTTGCCTGTCCTGGAACAATAGGAAAAGTTGACCACTTTTGTGTTGGAAGGCCACCAACACAAACTTGAAACACTGCTGTTGATTATGTTGTCCACTACTTGAAATGAGCCACAAATCTTTAGAAAAGACCAGTCTTATGGCTTACTTAGTACCGCATTTTTTATTAAAAATAGATAGCTATTAATTTTTTGGGGTCAAATAGTACCTTTCTCTCCTTTTGTAAATTCCATATTATTTGCTGTGATGGATTTTAAAGCAAAATTTAAAGGCTACTTACCTTGCAAGTGTTCACTCAATTGCCACCTTTTTTTGACCAGAGGGTTGGGGACATCCCATGTACTCACCTAGTTTTTATTTGCAAAACAGAGAACATGTTGTAAAGTTAAATTTCAGCATCAGAGATTAGGCATATATAGTGCAAGATTAGTGTTTTTGCTTTGAACAAGCTTTTGCATTTTATGAAGAAGTTGTGAAATAGAGCTGAACTATGGTTTGAACATTGAATTGGATTTTCATTGTATGTGTCTTTTTAAAATTTGTCAATTTCTTTCATTGAATTCTTAAGGAAATTTGTAATGCACCATTGTCTAGTAGGCATACATCATATATGAAATGTTTAATTTTTATTCCAGTTTTTCTTTTAGCATAAACACTGTCATAAGACAATTATTATATGTTTTTGAAGGTAGCTTTAGATGATTTGTTTTGGAAAACAGTTATGCAGTACTTTTCTTTCTTTGCTTTCTAATGATAATTGTTATGTTTGAAATAATTTTGTTGTTTTGTGCATTTTCAGGATTTTTTGCCATTCTTCATTCCTGGCTGAATGCTTTTGCTGAAATGTTACGCTTTGGTGATCGTTTGTTTTACAAGGTCTGTTATGGAGATGGCATGGATCTATTTAATTAAACTTTTGTTTTAATTAATTTATTGTCACATTACTAATGTGTCAAAGTTTATATGAAGAATTTATGTGGTTTTATGTTACTGTACGTATAATGTGTTCTGTACATGTTTTATAATAAAATAGTAGCTAATATGTCGCAGTTGCTTTATCAACTATTGGTGCTGCCATTGTTGAAGCCGCACAAAACATGGCATAATCATGCAAATATTCTGATTGTAAGAATCCCTATTATTTTTTGTGAAAAACTTCCGAGATATTTTGTATTTGGCACTTTAGCGTTTTGCTGGGGTGGTCAACATACGTAGACGACACTACTCTCTTTGCCTCAAAACCAAAAGGATTAGAGAATCTAATATCGAACGCCATGATTCTGCTGAGGAATGTATTCCTTAGAAAGCAAGAGAGGAAGTGGGAGGCCGAACAGAAGATAGTAACAAGACAGCGATACTTGGCTTGGAAACAAAACAACTCAGGCAGGCAAATTGGCAAGAGGCAGAGTGTTTTTTTACAGAAAGGTCAAAGAAGCAAGTTCAATTTCTGGAAAAGCTTTTAAAATAGTTTCTTTCTTTGGCAATAAAATACAGGTTTCTTGCTATGTTTTTTTTTCTTAAAATAGAAAAGAGATTTGTCATTATTAAATGTATTCTCTTAATAATCTGTTATTCAAAATCAGCATCATGGTTGCTTTTACTAGGGCAAGAACATACATTGTAAATTGTGTATATAAACTCTACTGTTTGTTACTCACTTATCTAAGACATTCATGTCTTCAGTTTTTCATTTTTTACGCTTTTGTGTACTGTTGTAGGACTGGTGGAACTCTACAACATTCTCCAACTACTACAGAACCTGGAACGTGGTGGTGCATGACTGGCTGTACACCTACATCTACAAGGATATCTGCAAGGTTAATAAAGCTGACCGGTGTCCGGAAATCACAGTCTTTTTTAGGGTTATGGTGACTTCGTTAAGGCTTTGAAATTATTAGAGGGTTGAAGTTTTAAGAGCTAAAAATGAGCTTTTTGATATTGAATTTATGTTATTTCGAGTAAAAAAGCCCCCTAATGTTAATGGTACACCGGTGGCCCCTTTACAGCTTGATAAGTTTAAGGCATCTGCTGTAGGTATTTTTTGTTTTATCTAACTCATATTCATTAGTTGCATAAGGTCATATGAGCGCCATCTCTTGTTTTGAGCTGTATGCCCTTATTATACAAAGATAATGGTAAGGAGCCTAAAAAGCCCTTCCTGATTAAATACATTAATATTAGACAAGCTGTTCATTTTAAACTAGTCATCATCAATGCCTTTCACCCCTGGCAGGGTATAGGCCACATACAAGCTCCTTCCATTTATCTCTTTCCTGGGCCATCTTTCCTAGCACGCTCCAAGTGAGCTTCATCTCTCTCATGTCCCTTTCCACACATCTCCTCCATGTCTCTCATGGCCTACCCCTGCCTCGTGCAGTCATTCATCTTTATCTGTCCACTAACATACAAAAGCGCACACTTTATCATTCAAACATACTCACTAATGTACAAATAGCTTCAAATATTCCCCAGAATTCAAATTTCCAACCCATCTAGTGTCACATTCTCTTGTAGGTATAAGTACAGATTCTTTCTTACAACTGTGTTGATGATGGCTCAGTTGATTTTCAAAATCGTTTTTAAACCATCTCGTTTGTTTCCCCAGTTGATTGGAGCTGGGAACCGTGCCGGCGCTATGGCATGCGTGTTCCTCATCTCTGCAGTTTTCCATGAGTACATTTTGACCGTCACCTTCAAGTTCTTCTACCCGGTTCTCTTCATCATGTTTGCTGGAGCCGGATGTAAGTCGCAATGCCAGGATAGTTGATTTGGCCCTGTGATGCAATCTGCTCTGTCTATTTCTCATTATTGTTACTGTTGTGATGACCTGTACCTAACAAATGATAGCCGTTATCAGCGGATGGTTGGAGGGCACCACAAGTTGATCTTTTTTTAAAATGCTCTTTGTTGATTCTCTGTCTTGCTTTTCCCTGGACTAGATTGCCATCATCATGCTGATGTGCTTCTTGTTTCCCTCTCTTTACATTTCTTTCTTCCTCCTCATGCTCTTTCTCAATCCAATATGACTTATTGTATTGGTATGATTTTTTAAAAATCTTGCTCAGATTGAACTGAAAATTTTCCAGTACTGCGGTTGCTTGTGTTTGAGGTGATGAAAATAACCTGTGAAATGAGTGATCTCAATGCCTTTGTCTCTGTTCATGTTTTTTTTTTAAAAATTTGTTTGTGCTCACAGTTGGCTTCATTTTCCTGACGGACAAGGGTTCAAATCGCAGCTGGAACGTCTTCATGTGGGTGGCTTTGTTCATCGGCAATGGCATGCTCATGTGTCTTTACAGCATGGAGTTCTATGCCAGACAGAACTGCCCCGTCAGTACGGTAAGTATTGTGGCAGGGAACAGACTTTCTGCCTTTACACGCCAGTTAACTGTTTTTATTTCTCGTTTCTTCGTGTATCAGAGTCTGAATTCTTGTTGGTGGTTGGTGGGTGCTTTAGTGTGGTGTGCTCCTTCTTTCCTATCAGACATTTAACATCCTTATCTCTCCTCCTTTTTTTGTGTTTGTCACGCTTTTTTTTAACACCTCTTATCTTCGGCACTTATATGATCTGATTGTGTTTGCAAGTCCCGTAAATCTCTTTCTTAAACAAAACACGTCGGTTAGTGTTTTTTTTTTTTTTTTTCTTCATGTACAGTGTCTGAACAGTTCAACTGTTGACTGAAATTCCCATGTAGGAGCATTGTGTTTGTCTCATAATGAATATGGATGGAGGTCTGAAATTCCCATGTAAGAGCATTGTGTTTGTCTCATAATGAATATGGATGGAGGTCTGAAATTCCCATGTAAGAGCATTGTGTTTGTCTCATAATGAATATGGATGGAGGTCTGAAATTCCCATGTAAGAGCATTGTGTTTGTCTCATAATGAATATGGATGGAGGTCTGAAATTCCCATGTAAGAGCATTGTGTTTGTCTCATAATGAATATGGATGGAGGTCTGAAATTCCCATGTAAGAGCATTGTGTTTGTCTCATAATGAATATGGATGGAGGTCTTCACATAACACAGGGTGATCTTCTCTCTTGGCTGCCCTTTGTTTCTATATGATGAGCTATTTATTGTGTCTGCAAATTCTTTTTATGCAGTCAGATGAACACAGAGGTTTGAACAAGTGTGCTTAACCCTTTGAACTCGAAATGCCGCTTTAGTGGGATAGCTGTTATTTCCCTGTGCTCTGAGATCCCGTTATAGAGGGATCGGCAACACCCTTTCCCATTTGTGCAGTTCTATATCTGTTCAATGAGAATACAACAAGCTGTTCAGTGTGGGATTAAACACAAGAAGTAATCGTGGGTCAGTGTTTTGAAGTTTGAAGGAAAGAACTGTGTTTGAAGCTGTTTGAGTGGGTGGTTGGCAGGTGCTCTGGTACGGCTTTCTTCTTCTTTCCTATCAAACATCTATCGTCCTTATCTCTCCTCCTCCTTTTTTGTGTTTGCTACTGTCTTGAAGCACCTCTAAGCTTCGGCACTTATATGACTTTTTAAAGTTACAAGTGCGGTAAAACACTTACTAAAGCTAAACTGAAGCTGTTTGTGAAGTGTTTGTTGAGCTGATCGGCTTCAGCCATCAACATCGGGGATAGGTGCTTAGGTTTGGAATCACAGTAGGTTCAGGAATTCAGGGTTAAAAAAGTTAACCTGGAAGTTTAATCCCTGATAGAATAAGATTTTGTTCAAGGAATTTTCATGTCTTTCTGAAACTGGCTGTGTCTTGTCTCAGATGCTGCCTCTTATAACATAATTTTTTATTTTGACCGAAGCTTTATCACTACTGCATCTAAACCTACAACCTTTTTTCCTCAAGCAAGAGCCTTATGAGGCAATGCCAGTCTTCCAATCTTCTCATACCATCTGTTATTGTTTCCACAGGAGAATTTCCTGGACTACATTATCCCCAGATCTTGGTTTTGCGATTTGCCTGCGAGCCCAGCTAGTTGAACGGAAATGAGACAGACCCCACCCCCACCCTGCACTCTTCCTCAGCCTTTTTGAACTCTGAATGTTAAACCATTAGCTGTGGGCATTTCGTCACTGAGCCAGTTTCCCTCTGGAGCAGACTAGACCACTCGGAGCTTACAGGTTTCTCAGGCTCCCTAAGGTGAACAAACAGACTCTGCTCTTGATCTGTCTTCGTCTAGTCAGTAGAGCTATTGCGGCTTCGATCCTCGTCACTTTTTGTAGGGGATAGTTTGTGCTTGGCTGTCACTGACAAGTTTTTCTGCCAGGAACAAGGCCATCAAGATGATTCAATGCAATTGATTTTTGACAATGAATAATATTTTGGATTTGTTTGACAATGATGATTATATATTTTTTGGACAACATTGTGTGTGTTTGTATGAGAGAGAGGAGAGTGTCAGTGTATGTGTGCAGGTGTGTTACTGTTTATGTGATATGAATAAAGTAATGAAAGCCTACTGTCAGGAGAATGACAAACATTATTTTCTTGTAAGATGGCAGCTGAAAGAAACAGGAATTCTGACAATATTCATAACAATGAAGGTACATGCACACTGTTATATATACTAAGTAGATCTATTTCTATGTGGTCATTATTGATTCCACTGTTCTGTCTCCAAACCACATCTGCTCATCTATTGATGTTGTAGAGCATTTCTGGAAATTTGGGATTTTCCAAACCATTGTTAGTATTTTGACTTTCGACACATGAACAAAGGCTGGAGGACATGGAGGAGTAAAAATGGAAGTTCCTGATAAAAATGTGTTTTTTTGTTGCCTTCAGAATGAGAACTTTACCATGTGGTTTACAAATTTGTTGAAATATGTCACACGTCACACTATAAAGGACCTGTTGCAACTTTTTCCGTGGTTTCTATGATTACGGTCACTTTCGCACTCAGTAAACGGTATTCAAGCTATTCATTATTATTATATTTTGATCAGATTGAATCATTATCACAGTGAAAGCAACCTATGTCTGATATGTCACATAAATGAAGCAACTGTGGGGAGAGGCTTGCTACTGATCATGGAGCCTAACATTGCACTGCAAAACGCTACTGGCGAATGCTTTTTCTTTATAATATCAAAGGTCGTTCATAACAACATAGTTCACTCCTCTCTTTGAGCCAATTAAAAAAGTGTCCTCAAAATTCGGTGGCGCCCTCTTTGAAAAAGTGCGGACTTTGTGAACAGAGCTACTCTACTTGTGTGAAAAGCAACAAAAGTGAAACTAACAAACTGTGCTATTCCTATTCTTCTTCTGGAGAAACAAAAGAGAGCTTCAAAATAAAGACTGCAGCGCCATCTGAACCAATGCGCGGACCTCCGCAGACACCTTTTTGGCTGAGTGAACTATCTTGCTATGTACCATCTTTGATTATATTTATGGGAGGGAGTTGAAGAATAACTACAAGAAAGACGGTTTTCATACTTTTATATGATATTTACGAACTTGTCGCAAGTGCATTTGATCTGAATTTTCATGTCTTTCGGAATATTACTGATCATGCTCATAAGACAGCTCAAAGGTGTGACTTCTCCTCTAGATCTGCGGTTACTGTGGAAAATGTCTTTTTCGTCTGAGCTTTAACGTTAACATTGGTTTTTAACAAGTCTTTTGTTTACCCTTCACTGTTATTGTTTGCATTTTATTTTTGACTGTGCCGCAGGGCAGACTTTATTTATGCAACTTGTTTTTTTTTGTAGCTTTAATATTTAGTCTTTACATGTACTATACATTATTACTTTTTTTTTAAAGCAAACACCAAACAAGAGGGCATATTTTTCACTGCTGTCAGGGAGTCTTACTTCTTTTTTCTCTTCATTCTTTTTTCTTCTGCTCAGAGTCAATTTGGTAAATGCGTTGTAATGCAATAGTTTCTGATTTATCGGAACAGACACGCTATTGTATGATGAGTAGAGCTAGCTGGACATATAATTCCTGAGATGGAATAAGATAAGCAACAGATGGTTCTATACTTTTAATGTGTTATGAAAACAGAAAAATACTGGTAAAAAAATCTTTCTTGAAGGCATTTACTTCAGTTTTCATGGAGACGATAGGTTTTTTTTGGGCTATTGTTTTCTATTTAATTTTTAGAAAATCAACCTATGCTACCCTATGAGAGGGAGGCTATGAATCATGGTATTGTAAGTAGAAGGTCATCGTTTGTGTACATTTTTAGTTTAAAATATGCACTTGAACATTGTTCTTTACGCATTTTGCTGTACCATAATGACTTTAAGTTGAAGATCATTTTGTATATAACACTTTTTGCATGCTTTTATTCCCTGCTTTCTAATTTATTTACCATTGACATTGTGGTGTAGAGGTTTAGACTGCTTTACCTTTTGTTTTCTTGTTTTATATTATTACAACTTTGTGTACATAATTTATGCAAATTTACTTTCATTGTTGAGATTATATTTGAATTAATCTGTGGGTTTCTGTGCTTTTTCCCCCGTTCATTTTGGTTTGGTTAAAAAAAAAGTGTGTGTGTTGGAGGGGGGTAGGGTGGGGGGGATGTGTGTCAGGAATGAGAAGGGGTTGCACTTGTATTGCTTTGAAACCCTGTTTACACTTTAGTGAATTCTGGATTGTTTGGAAGGAGACTAATCACTATGTTTCAGGGGGGAAGGGGGGAAAGGTGGCAGGGAGGAGGGGGATGATATATTATACGTGCACATGCTTATCAGATTGATGTTCCTGTTGAATAAAGGTGCAAGGAAACGTGAAAAACAAATTATGTAATATGTTGATGCTCTGGCCTTGTGATAAGCAATCCAAACAGCTCTCCCCCTTTTCCCCAATTATACAACAATCTAAAAAAATAACTAGTTTTGACCCCGTCAATGTCTGTCCATTTTTTGCCATGTTGTCCATTTTCTCTCACATTTTTGTTTTGTTTTTGGGTTTTTTATATTAAAATTTTTTTTTTGTTGCCTGAGTAACAGTGGTTTCTTGAAGGCTACCCTTCACAAAGCATGCATAGGGTCTAATGCCATAGGCTCTGTGTCACATCCTTTACTGTGTGGAAAAAGATTTTACTGGACCATAAGTTCCTGTAGCTTCTTCTTGGTGAATTTTGCTCCACATATACGGGTTATTATCTGCCAAGGGAAAGTGGACATTTATTTGAGAAAAGATATGTTGTGCATGGTCTGTATGATGTCGGGGCAAAGGCAGACATGGATATCATATATATCAAATACGTTTGAGACGTATATTGATATACATTTAGAACATCGATAACTTGAGGGAGAAAAATCGTGTTGATGGAAATAGATTTATTGTTTCTTGTTTGTTTGTTTTTTTCACTTCAGTTGTTTCCATGCTTTACGTGTCTTCCATTTGTTGTTCAATACTGGTCTTTGTCTTCAGCATTTTCTTATTTTCTTTTCATTCTTGGCCATCAGTGCTGTGGTAGCAAATTGTCTGTGATTTGCATTTCAGTTTGTCATTTTTGTAAAAAACATCACTTCCTAATTTATGTGTGGCCTAAGTTAATTGTCATCAATTTATTTGAGATGTTGGCAGAGAGAGTAGTAGAAGGTGCTTGACTGTACATTTTGCAACTGTCACAAATATGTGCAGATGACCAATCCCTTCCCCGCTGTAGTGTAAATTGGGTGAAGCGCATTTCTCAGTTTGTGGAATGTGTATAACGTTGACAACTGTGCCACATTTTTTGAAGGTGATGTCTTCTTTTTGATTGCTTCGAACAAGATTGCTGTGGAACAAACATGTTTGTTTTTCTTGGTCATGCCTACTCCCTATTTTCAAGTAAAATACTTTAAGGCGAAGGTAGCTAAATTTTAAGGTGAGACAAGTATGGAGCAGGACTATCGTTTTTTTTACAGGCTGGAAAGTAAATCAGTATACTTGCCCAAACTTCAGACAATTCTTTTTCACCTTGATTCTCTTTTCATGTGTGGGTGGTTGGCGGGTGCTCTAATGTAGTTTGCTTCCTTCTTTCCTATCAAATATCTGTCATCCTTATTATTATTTTTTGTGCGTGTTACATTCTAGATCAAGGAACATTTGTAATCTATGGCACTTACATGACTTAATTGTGTTGCAAGTAGGCCTACCAAAAAACTCTTATTAAAACTAAAAATCTCTTCTCGGGTTCTATCTCAACATCACATAAGTGCTGCTTCAATCTCCTTTGTTCATTTTGAGAGGCATGGGTTGTGAGAGAGTGGCTGGTGCTGTAGTGCCTCAGGTCATTTCCTTTACAGCACAGATGAGTAAGGTCATTCAAGACGGAATCTTTTATAGCTGTCAAAGAATTGCTGTTGTGGGTTGTGTTAAATTGCTTTTCTTTCTTGTTCCTTTACTGTTTTTTGCTAGTGCCCTCAGTAACCTCATTTTTTAAAGTCTGTTAGTATATTGTTTGTTTGTTTTTTAAAATCAGTTTTCCCCCTCAGTGTTCATCAATTATATATATCCGTAATGCTTTAGCCCTACTGTGGGTATTTCAATGTTTCTGGAACTTTGAGGAACTGTTTTACTATTTGTTTGTAGCTCTGAGAAAAAAGGTAAGAAAGTGCATAAGGTTATTTTAATATTTGGTTTATAAATAGATCTTGAACTTCATTTCTATCACAGATTAGTTGTTCTGAAATATGGGGAGATGAAACTTTAAAAATTTTAATCTTATGATATTTTACTCAATTACTGCTCTAAATGTTTGTTTTCAAACATTTTGAAGACACATAGAAGACAAAACTGTCTACTCCTGTGGATGTACAGTAATTTTCAACCAAAACCCCCTAATGTAACATACCATACAAAAGGGAACATCCCTGACTTACTAGGGAGACCTGGTGCTCATAAATTTAAAAGAACAGTCTTTGGTTTCACCTTTTATACAGCCTCGTCATAGACAATTTTGAATACTGTTGTCTCAATCTTTTGAAAATAGGTCACCATTCTCTTTGAGGTATTATTTCTCTTTTCAAAATGCTGCAGCAAGCTCCTATGATCTTATGCAGTTGTGAGCATCATAAAACTTTTTCCAAACTGAACTAAAAGAAGGCTGCAGTGACACCCATGTGAAATGCAAAAAAAAAGTGAGCTTTGAAAATGTGCGCATTCTGGCAGGTTTTCCCCGAGTTGCAGACAAAGTTACGCAGTAGTTATATGATTTACTAACTTATGAAAACGTCATCTTTTATTCAGATGTTTTTGTTTTACCTCAGTAGGAAAATTGAAAGAAAAAGAAATTTGTTGTCAAAACTCATTCCCATGTCCTGTGATATTCTGGGCTTCAACCCAAATGCTAGGGGTATACCGCTTTCCTTGAAATCTTTCAGGATCCTGGAAGTGTGGGCATTATGATGCTTTTTGCTTCTGTCACACTAAATCATGTCCTTCCTTTTATGCTTGTGGTTGCTACACATGAACCAATTCTAATGAAGCAGTATGTTCAAGAGTTCTTTTTCTTGCTTAAATGACATCAACTGGTCACAGAGCTTTCTTATGTTCAATAGTCTTGCAATAATGGATGAGGTCCTTCTTCATTCTGATATATCTATGTGGAATGTGAAAGATGGTGGCGGTACGTGTATTTAGTACGCATGTTGATTATCTCAGGGAAGTAGAAAGCAAAAATGAACGTATCTTGTAATGTATGTTAACAGAAAAGTCCTCTGTAAATAGGAACTGCACTACTGTCCAAAGGCAGAGCTATATAACTGCACCTTTCATGATTTTGAGGAAAAGTGCTAAAAACTGTTCATGCCTAGTCTGTCTAAAGTTATGAATACTTTCTATGAATGGTTGTGTGGAAATGTAGATACTTCACTCTGTCAATGACAATTTGCTTTAGATCAGTCACTTAACATAGCTTTACCACTTAAGAAACTACTATTTTGGGTATATAGAACAGTTACACCGTCCTGCTTTTGAGACAAGAAGGATATGGGCAAGACAAGTGTAACTAGCCAATAAAACCAAAAAAAATTGATTTTGTTAGATCTGTTGCTGTGCCTTGGGACAGCAGTGCAGCAGGAAATTGATTACTGACCATCCCATTTAAAATGTTTTCCGTTATATTATATTGCTGGTCAAGTCATCATGTGTGTGTTTGTCTGGGACGTCCTTCACATTGATTTACTTGAATTCAGAAGCGGGTTCACAGTTTTCTTTGTTTCTTTCTTTTCACTTGCG